TTCACCCTTCCTTCCTTCCTTCCACCTTTCCTTCCTTCCTTCCTTCCCCCCTTCCCTCCTTCCTTCCTTCCTTCCCTCCCTCCCTCCCTCCTCCTCTCCCTCACTGCCTCACTGCCTCCCTGCGTCTAGGTGTTGTTGTGGAACAGGATGGGTTTGACCAGGCCGGACAGGATCTTGGGCACGTGAACGCTCACAATCTCCGAGATCATCTCTGGGAAGTTGACGCGCGTCTGCAGGGACTGAGCCTGGATGAACAGGTCATAGGTGAACTGGTGCAACTTCCGCACAATCTACGACAAGGAGACAGGAAAGAGAACATCAGGCGGGAGATGTTGAACGGTGAAACTAAGCTAGGAGGACCGAGGAGAGCAGCAGAGAGAGAGAGAGAGAGGCTGCAGATGAAAGAGCAGGTAACTAACGACACAGAAAGCCGGCCCTCTGATGCCACCTTTAAGACCGGGGTTTAAACAGGATGACGCTCTTTGTGGCGCGCTAAGCTCCAAAGACGCGGCAAAGCCGCCGGGGTCTGAAGTGCAAAGTCTCCATCAACTCCACCCTCTTCCACCCTAAAGAACCCTGACAGACAACCAGTGGCTGGCTGCCAGCTCCTGGGGCAGGGGAGGGTCTGAGATGTGATTGGGACCCAGACAAAGCCCAGCTCTGGTGGGTGAAGCCAGCGAGGAGGGGGGAGGATGGGGGAGGAAGAGGGAGACACCAGAGGGGCCGCAGCTCTGCTCCCAGTGGGAGGAAACGTCTCTGTGTCTGCGGTCACATCCCGATCCGGAGGTTTTCCTTTGTTCAAATAACTGTTCTGACCAATTACCATTACTGTAACACTTAAAGGTATCAACAGTAGAGAGCACTCACGCCATCTAGTGGTTAAACGAGGTAATGTAATAAAACACAGGTCGTTGGACTTAAAATTAAGCCACAATCACGGGGCGCAGATGACGTCTGTATAGAAGAAAATATTTATTTACATTTATAGCCTATTAAATATTTATTCTAAACAGCGGCTGTCGTCACTTTCTCAGACAGCACTTGCCCCGGAATTGCAACATTTTCTTTTGCAAATTTATGTGCAATAAATAATAATTCACATAAAAAAATACAGACTTGTAAATTTATGTATTGTTGTGTTTGTTCCTTTTCTCACAGAATTTTCTCGCTGAATTGTTTTAAACATTCTCAGACATCATATGTGTCTTTAAATAAACCAAACCAAACCAAAGAAACTTCATACAGAGCTGATGTGTTCATTGGACCGCAGCCCGAGCTCATCGTGAACACAGTAACGTTCTGGACCTGAGGGAAAGCTGAGGTTTATCTTTCAGATCTGGGAGCCATAAAAGACCTCACTGCAGGCTTTTATTTGGAAAAGCAACTTTTTCTCGGTCAACACCCTCACAGTACATTCACGTGCAGCAGCTGCAGTGGGTTTTTCTGACATTTTAGCAATATGTATATGTATATATAACAATATATATATAAATCAAACTCACCAGTTTGTAAAAAAAAATGACACCAAAATATAATAACTCACCAAAGTGAATCTCTGTCCTAAAGAGATGTAAGGAGTACAGTCATAATAAGATGCGACTGTATTTTAAATAATAAATAATAAATAATAAAATTTAAATAAAGCCACAGCTTTTATGCAGTTTCATTTGCATGAAATCCTACAGTAATCCTACAGAAATACATCTTCAGGTAATAAAACACTAAATGTCCGGCGTAACGATGCCGTCTGTCAGACACGGTGTTGTCTGGTGTATAAATCAGGTTCATTATGACTAATGATACACGTGTTTGTATTAGGTGTTAGCTTCACACTGACACAGCAGACAGAGGCAGTAAGAAAAGTCACAGACACAGTAACACCCGTTTTTGAAAGGTATAAAAAGTGTCGACATCAACAACAACAACAACAACAGTTCCAGAGTTTGTACTGTTTTTCTACTGTTCGCATTCACTGCGGCCTGCGTCTGTGTACTGGGGTGGATACTTGTACTGCATCTATTTGTCGAGTATTAGCTCTAATGTTTATTTAAAAAAAAAAAAAAAGGTTTAACTGACAGGGCGATGATTGACAAAAATGTCTGGACAAAATGACGAATCGATGAGAGAAAAACACATTTAAGTTCGCTGTTTATTGACATTTATGATGTACACACTCCAGCCCAGTAGGTGGCAGTAATAGGCCTTATGTTTGCCAGTAAAAAAAAAAAAGTTGATGAAAGGTTAGACTAGATTCTTGATCCAGGGTGTGACATCGCCCCCAGAGGACTAACCAGTAGATCACGGGCGACACTAAGCACAGATTCCAGTGTGAGACTGTGAGGTGTGTGTTTACCGTCTGAAGGTAGTCCAGCAGCTGCGTGAGCTGGAACAGTCTCTGCGTGCGGGTGGTCTCTCCACTGTGGCTGGCCAAACGGTCCAGCTCCTTAATGTAGGAGGTCCGCAGTTCATCAAAGCAGCGCTGGCTCTTCAGACCCTCCACTGGTACTGGGAGCACGGGATGACGAAGACAACAACTGTAACTCATCCCGTTCATTAAAAAAAAAAGAAAAGAAATGTGGCTGCAATATTTCAATTTCACTGCGTCTCTGTGCTGACTCACTGATGCTGAAGAGGACCAGGGCCTTCATGCACAGGAACTCCTCTCTGGTGACCTTCAGCATGCAGAACCTCTGCGACAGCAGCTTCATCCGTACGCAGTGCTCATACATACTGGACACCTGCATCCGCTGGCTGTAATGGAGGGATGGAAATGGTGGGGGGGGGAGTGGGGGGGAGGACGGGACAGGGAGACAGGAAAATGATGAGATGAAAAGAAGCACGAGGTGTGACAGAAAAGAGGTGAGAAGCCAAGAAGAAGGTCAGAACGAAAGAAATATAGAGCGGAGGAAGACAATTAACAGTTGCAGAAACAAGAAGTGGATGGAAAAGAGAAAGAGGGAGGGAGGGGAGGGAGGGGAGAGGAGTGGAGGGAGGTGGGGCAGCGGAGGTGAGAAACATGAGTGAGATGGGAAATGGAAAAACAGAATGGCAGCAAGGCAGGGAAAAATGAGGGTCAGCTCCAGGGGCAGACTTATCCACGACCAGGCAGGTCACCGTCGGCACAGAAGAGTGACACGGGTCTAATGCAGACGGAATGAGTCTTTCACTAATGCTGTGTGAAACAGCAGCTAGGTGGCGATGTAACGAAGCATCAAGAATCGGTTAAAAAAAACTATAAAACTATACAAATGTGTGACAATTCGCATTAAGTGAAATAAAGAATGAATTAACGGTCACTGGTCATACCGTGACACTACACACTCCAGTACAGTAGGTGGCGATACAAGCCTAAAAACATTGGTTGTGACCCCGTATCAAACCCAGACGTCAGGTCCCTACGTAGGCTGAGAGACGTTCAGGTGTCGGAACAGAACGTGGGAAGAACTGGTTCCACAGACACCAACAGTGTTCTCCAGTTGAACTCTTTCCACTTCCTGTTTTTTCTCTTCTTCTTCTTCTGTTGTTGTTTCATATATTGACAGTTAACCAGGTCAACCAGACTAGTTTGACCAGTTTAATCAGAGCAGATCAATGGAGATGGACAGAAATGGGACTTTTGTCTGAGTTCTGACAAAGAAACGATCAGTGGATTTTATCACAATTTGTTTAAAACAAACTGTGATAAAATCGTATCGTGGGTGGAGTGTATCGTTACATCTCCTCCAGGTGGAGGCTGTTTATCCA